GCCAAGTTTAACACCAAATTTAATGTTTGTTCATTGCTCTAATTCAAGCTCCAACATTCTCGTGATAGCATACAAAAGCACGCAATAGTGAATGCCATTCCGCAAGACACCGCCACATATTGGCACAAACACAGCTGTGAGATCGATATACCAAGGTTATGAAACCTTACCAAGATGTTTGTAGTGCTGCCAACGTAGGCGCGTGGTAGCAAGTTCACAAACATAATTGTCAAACTGTGTATGGTTAAATGTTATGGGGAACAATTTCTTTCTGGACTAAAACTGGAAAAATACACAAGACGCACAATACTGATTCATTATCCTTTACTGAGTGACAGTACTCACAGGGTTAGTGCATAGGTTCTGGAACCAGCCTGCCTGGGCTTAAAACCCAGCTCCACTAACTCCTGGCTGTGGGACTTGGAACAAGTTTGAGTTCATGCTGTGGCAAGCTCTTCCTATTGCTGATTATGTAAATATGCCTCAGTTTCCTCCTCTGAACAGTGGAACTAGCAATAGTACCTATCACAGATGGTAGAACTGTCATGAACATTATGATGTAGTCCTTACATCATAAGGTTGTCATGAGTCGAAACATGTCAAGCCCTTAGGATAGTGTCCATCACATGGTAAGAACCCAGTGCTGTATGTTTTTATGATGAAAGAGATGGGACATCAAAAAACTTAAAAATAATTTTTGTTACACCGAATGTTCCATTTATTTTTTATAATTGAGTTTACTTCATAATGGAGTTGAAGATCAGTACAGACATTTCAGTTTGTGTACTTTTTAAAGTCAGTCTCACTCTGTCACCCAGGCTGGGGTGCAGTGGCATGCTCACAGCCATGGTAGCCTCGAACTGCTGGGCTCAGGCGATCCTTCTGCTTCAGCTTTCCAAATAGCTGGAACTACAGATGCACACCACCACGCCCAGCTAATTTTTTGATTTATTGTAGAGGCGAGGTCTCACCATGTTGCCCAGGGGCTGGTCTCCAACCTGCGGGCTCAGGCAATCCTCTCACCTCCACCTCCCAAAGTGCTGGGCGTATAGGTGTGACCACCACGCCCGGCCTAATCACAATTCTTAACATACATACCGAAAATCTAAAAAGCCACATTATTATTTTTAAAGTCATTCCAGTGACTTTCCAGCTTAAAATCTGGAGACAAGTTTTCCTTGAGGATATCAAGTAACAGTATCTTCAAATGTTAAGCTGTTACATACATCCCACCAAGTCACAATTTATCATTTACACACCATACTAAATTTTTCATTCTTTCATAGCACATTAACAAAGTTATTAGGAAAATGGGACTACCATGACCAAAGATATTACAGAGGGCACACAATTCTGTCAGGGAGAGCCATGATCAAGGAAGAAGTGGCTTTCTTTAGGAAACAATTCTACTAAAAAACATGAGAATAGAAGCAACCTTCTTTTTTATTTTTTTTTATTTTTGGAGTCTCACTCTGTCACCCAGACTGGAGGGCAGTGGCCGCTCCCGGCCACCGCAGCCTCGACCTGCTGGGCTCCGGCGATCCTTCCACCTCTGCCTTCCAAGCAGCTGGAACTACAGGCGTGCGCCACCACACCCGGCTCATTTTTGATTTATTGTGGAGATGAGGGCTCACCAAGTCGCCCAGACGGGTTTTGAACCCGCGGGCTCGGGCAATCCCCTCACCTCGGCCTCCCAAAGGTGCGGGATTACAGGCTGAGCCACCGAGCCCGGCCAGAAGTAACTTTCCCTGTTCATGACATTAAATGCAGGACTGTGATCCCGACTGCCACTTAGTATGCTTTGCATCGTATTATAGGACATAAAAACGAACACCTCCGTGTATGGAACGTGAAGCTGACACCCAGCACAGTCAGAGCCTCCCGAAATTCCGTATCTCACACTATTTTCTGTTTGTACCCCCAAATAAACCACCAGCGAGCTTTCACCTCTTAAAAGAAAGCATTTACACTAAAAAACGGAAAAGGCGAGATTCCCTCCTTCTTAAAACTCTTCCCAGAGCTACCGAAAAACTTGCATGTACAAAACAGTCGATCAAAACATTCCTCTGAGGTGAGTGGATGGCCCGAGCCCGCGGGTTCGAGACCCGCCTGGGCCGCGAGACCTCATCGCCACAATAAACCAAAAATGAGCCGGGCGTGGTGGCGCGCGCCCGTAGCTCCAGCTACTCGGAAGGCGGAGGCGGAAGGAGGGCCGGAGCCCGGGCAGGTCGAGGC